GCTTGCAAATTTCCTTGACTGTGGCTTTATTCCTTTAAATTTGATCTTACATCGTGGTCATGCCCTACCCCCAGGGGCCATGACTTGAAAAAATCTGAATCTATGCTTATCTATGCTCTATGAATATAACTTATCATGGCTTTGTCATTCTTGAAAAGAAGATTTTTAAAGAAGTTTTCTACATATTTTTTGTAAAACTTTGATTCCATATTGTGGCCTCTCCCTCACCCCAGAGGGTCATGTTTGAACAAATCTGAAACTACGCTACCTAAGGATGACTTTACTATTCTTGAAAAGAAGAATTTCCCTCTATATTTCTGTGTAAAACTTTGACCAGCCATCGTGACCCCGCCCTACCCACAGTGGTCATGATTTGAAGTAACTTTAATTTACCCTACCTAGGAGGTTTACCTATAAGTTTCATCCTTCCTTGCACAGTGGTTCTTGAGAAGATGATTTTTAAATCATACGCAGCATAGTAAAGGTTACAAATGGAAATATCTGCGATTTTTAAAGATAAAAATATATACTTCATTAGGATGGGCGAATTTTTTTTTAGGAATTGATATAAAAAATGTAATGTGGTTTAAATCTACGTGTTGGTAACATCTAAATTTTTTATTTAGACTTGTCATATGATATCGACGTCACATGACTTTGGCAATTATACTGGCAGTTTAGAGGTCATCTATAAATTTCAATATTGCAAGGGCATAATCAACTTCAAAATCTTAGTTTATTTTATAATTCTTTTCAATACTATATGTAGTTTGTGAAAAGTGCTGCGAACCTATATAGATTTCCTTTTTTGATTGGTAAGATTTTATTTGTTGGACGGCAAGTTAAATATTTTGCTGGTGAACTACATTACATATAGCTATAATTAATTTATTTCCAAGATTTCAAGAGGTTCGCAGCACTTTTCAAATGTTTTAATGCTTCTTGAGTTTATGTGTAAAATTTTGACAAGATACATTGATGGTATGCCCTTGCAATGAATCGATTTATTAGGGCCCTTCCATTATTTTTTCAATGAATCTGGATACAAACACACAACAGTAGCGCTTGTCTGGAGAATGGGCGTACAGTTTAAAAATAAAATACTAAAATACACATCGCATCCAAGTTAATGGCTTTATATTTTACTGCAAATAATATTTTATTTGAGAACAAAGACATTTTTCATTGTACAAAATGTGACTTGATCAGCTTCTAACTGTGTAAAAACTGCGTCGTTTTTTGCGAGATGACGTCACATTGACAAGTACATTGCTATCGATGCATCGTTTGTATACTGTTGTGTCGGATTTAACAAACGACAAAACTGCATTAAGTAGTAAGTTTGTATGTAGTATACAGCTATCCAGCTGTTTGAATTAGCAAACAATTTCATTTTGTGGTATTCTGAACACCTTATATATGCGTGACGACATAGTAAACATTTCCCGTACAAATTAGGCCCCGCCTTCTTACTGTAACCTTAACTGTGCTGTGTAACACTAAATTTTCACGGTTTCTTCTCCCCCCCCCCTGAAAAAGGGCTTGGCTCTTTATTTGAAAAAGAATTAAATCCCCTTCACCTATGGATACTTTATGCCAAGTTTGGTTGAGATTGGCCCAGTGGTTCTTGAGAAGAAAAGGAAAATGTGAAAAGTTATCGTCAACAACGACGACGACAGACAACGGACAAATTTTAATACAAAAAAGCCCACTTGACCCTTCGGCTAAGGTGAGCTATAAACCATTGTGTATTTAGTAAGGCCTTGTCACTGCTAATGTACATATTTAATATATAATTCCCTTTCTCGTCTCATTCAACAGTAACGACTAAAGTTAAAGTTTTGAAAAAGTAGGAGAAACTTAAGGACGCTCTAAACACTGCACACTAAAGAACTCTATTTAATATGATAGCCCTATCTCTTTTCATTCAAATGCTGTGGAGAATTCAAAGTTTTGTTTAATTTTTTAACGACGGTCAAACGTCAACGTCAAAAACTATATCATTTAGAAAGGTCTTTTCAGAGGTTAAATACGTAAAATTGAAATATGAAAGCCTTGTCTATTCTCATTCAAAAGATATAACCAATATTTGTTTTTAAAATTTGTGACAGAGGGATAGACCGACAGACTGAGAGACAGAGGGACCTATAAAATATATATTGTTCCCTTGCGTGTTAGAGTGGGGTACATTGAAGGCAGCTCATTTTCTTTTTAAATGTGAAGAAATTTGATTCATATAGAAGTGTAAGAAAATTTTCCGACCGAAATTATTCACTTGAATTAACATATTGAAATTGACTGTGTGCTCTTGCAAATAAATGTACATGTATATCTGTTTGGGTCATTTATATGCAACATGTCTAGGGTTATAAGATAAAGAGGAGGCTACAACTAAATCTTTTACTGTGTGTTTATAAGTTTTAGAGTTAAATGAAAATATAAAAAAGGTTTCTTAAAATAAAATACTCTTTAGACTTTTCAAAGATTCGGTCTTTTTTTTGTTATATATGAATAGTAAATTTTCTGTATGATATTTTTTAAATACATAAGTGTAATTCTACTTCCCGTACCTCGAGGATCAAAAATCTTAATAAACTCTTTCGTCGCTTGAAAAAAAAAATTGCCCAAGCTTTTTTATAGCATCGTTTGCATCTTAATTATTTTAAATGACACAACTTAAGTTCGTGTTAATAATTTTTGTAAAGTACCAATAATATTGTCGAAACCCTCAGCGAATATAACTGTAAACAAAACTTGTTTCTAGGTGCTTGTTTACATGTTATTAAATGGAGTAAGTTTATTGCATATAAACTCGTAGATATAAATTTCAATATTTTTTAAATGTATCCATATATTGAGTAATATTTTAAGTACATGTATTATATTATAGTAAGGTCAAGGACAAAAGTTCAATGTTATTTGTATCCAATGAAAGGACTTGTCAAAAGGCTTATATATGTGAAAACCGTAGTCTTTACTGTTCAAAAGTCATCGCCAAGTTTAAATTTGCTAATTTGTAAAGTATGTCAATCTTCAAAGTCAAGGCACAAAATTCACAATGCTTGGTACATGTACATGTCTCCCATTAAAGGACTTCTCACCAACAATATATATCTGAAGTATGAAAGTTTAAGCACCAACAGTTCATACATTCTGGCCTCAAAAATAGTTTAGTATTTTTGCGTTAAAATGATTTAGATCCGGAGGTCAAAAGGTCAAAATAGGTGGCACTCAGAGAAAAGTTTTGTCAAAAAGAATACCCTGTAAAAAATGAAAACCATAGCCCTACCATGTCAAATGTTATTTGACAAGTTCAAAGATTTTGCAGACAAACAGACAAACAAACAAACAGACGCGTCAAAACTATTTACCCCTGAATTCCGGAGAGGGGGTTATAAAAATTATCCCCTTAAATAAGTTAGATATTTCATTTCTACTCTACAGTAAACATCAATTTTGACAAGCAAAATACATGTAATTGTATATCAAATGCATATAAGGCAAGGTCTTAAAATGTGGAAACTTATCTTCATTGATGGCGTTAGCAGTTTTGTTTAATATACAAATAAAATAAAATCGCGCACATTATCAAAACTGCACAAATTTTGACATTTGTACACAAACATACGGAAGGATATAGAAACAGATGTTTCTACGCAACTAAGAGATAAAATTAGCCAAACACACAATTCCACAAGCATACACAATTGAAAATAAATGCGCTTACAGCTGTACATATTATTTTTGAGCGAGATAAGTATTCCTTGTGTTCTTTGTTTGCTTCATGTAGACAGGAAAAAATAGGATGACCTTTGTTTAAATTTTTTTTTGTCAAAACCTGATCCAATATCAGTCTAATACTCGAACAAGTTGACTTGTGTATCGTTGCTTTGCATTTTGAAGATGTTTAAACCTTGTCTACTTTAAACATAAGTTGCTTGTATGTTCTTTTTGGCCTAATCGAAATCCTCTATTAAAAGCAAGTTAATATGATGTAATATACATAAATTATGACATTTATAAAAAAGGTACAATATACTAAAGTGTAAATGACGTTTTCTGTTCCGAACTTCTTCTGACATAAGAGTGCATGATAAAAGTTAGAAGAATACAACAATGAACTCGATACAGATTAAACCAAGAAGATTTAATGTATTATTACATGGTTTACAACATTCATAAGTATGGTACATTATATAGTTGAAGTGGTCAAAAATATATAATCAAAACCACAACAATACAATCTATGAAAAAAAAAACAACTGTGAAAAACATACAGAAGAAAACAATTCAAGAAAGATTATAACATCTTAAAAAAGTCATTATATACGTTAACTTTATTCATAAACACAGTAAGTTTTCCAGGATTATGTTTAGTTTTTTGACAAAAGTAACAACAATATTGTCACATTACATCTTTTAAAAAAATTAACCCATTGTTGTTTTTTTTTATCTGCATGTACATGTATTTATATAAGACATTTCATTTTATAATATTGTAGATGAACAATTCCTGCAACAATTTATGGCATAACTACAAAGTACTGATTCAAGTAAAATTCCATATACGATTTAACCTGTAGACTGAAGATGATTTTTATATTATTGACACATCATATGACAGTAAATAACTAAATATCTACAATGTTGTTGGTTTATAACAATATGTAAAAAAAACACACAGTAAAGAAAATAAATCTACATGGAATGTATGTTATCTTGAAGCTGCTACATGGATGTAATTATCAAACTAATACATTTGTTATAAAATCATGTTAATTGAGGCCCAAACTGTATAAATCGATTCCAAAGTCCCATTACAGTTTGTATGCATACTTAGAAAATAAATTATTTTCAGTGCTTCTTAAAGTAATACCTTCTTCAAAATCAATCGAAAGTCGCAAAAAGAACATATTTTACAAAAAGAAAAGTAACAAATATTTTTCAAAAAATAGATTTTATAACATTTCATTTTATATTCAACTTCTCCATGTCAGATGTTAAGGAAATTCATATACTAGTTATCTGAAAAGCTGTACTCTGTATACAAAAATATAATATTTTTTTTAAAATCAAAAATATCAAAATTGCTGTTAAACCTGTTTTCCTCACAAATAAAGTTATGTACAAAGTTGTCGGATATATACCATAAACAGCTGAGTGAAATCTTATACTTGTTCTGTGTAACGTCCTGGACCTAAAAATGAAAAATACGGAACATTTAATATTACCTTATACGCCCAATCTCTTCGGGACAGAGAATTTTAGTCAGAACAAATAAAAAGAGATTACTATATATCTACAATGGTACATGTTATATACAAAAGTTTATAATCAAAAGTAAGGAAAGAAATCCGGACCTCTATGAAATACGTCCGGTCTGTTGGGAATGGCATAACTACATGTATACATGGCAAAGAGAAAGCAAAGAAAGATAAATATAGAAGATAAATTTTGGGATGTTTAGGAATGTATATCGGAAAAAAGAAATAATAAACATTAACGTAGGCAATTAATAGGTATATGTATGTCCTTCTCCATTGGCACAATGATAGGACGTTTGCTTTTGGGTGGCAGAATAAGAAATTCATACTAGTATTTACATCACGATTTGAATCCCATAGTTCTATCCTACTGATAAGACTGTTTAATTGGAGATAGACCTGCATGTCCTTCTTCCTTCCCTCCTTCCGTCACAATTTGCATTTGGCTCAGTTAAATAAAGCTAAATTTCAAAGAAATTATTCAAGATATTTTTATGAAACTTCATATGCTGATAGACATTGATCATAGCTATGGAATCGTATCAATATTTTATTAACTTCACCTTTCTTATGACCTTGACCCTTCTCTTTGTTACTAAATGTTTAGCTCAGTTATACATTATTTTGCGATAATTCATCAACTATATGTATATCCATTTTAGCTCACCTGAGCAGAAGGCTCAAGTGAGCTTTTTAGATCAAAAGAACTTTAGTAAATACGTCATATGTACATAATGACGTAACAAACATGACGTAAATTTCCTTTTTTTATTGATTTCTACAGAAAAATGTACATATTTTGTCGATATTTTGAGTAAATGTCACCGAGCGCATGTGTGTTCAGGATCAATATTTTGATATAATGTGTAAAATGATAATATCAATGAAATATGTAAATATTAATTCTGAACAAACATGCGCTGTATAAATTTAAAAGCTAAAATTGTTGATATTTTGTCCATTTTGTCCTCTTTCTGATAAAAAAATTAAAATTGGACTAGTTTGTGACGTCATAAAAACAAAAGAATAAACTGCTTTGAAACTATATTGTGTTCTGTTAATTTATATTTCTCATACAATTTATTGAATTCAGCACATTTCATAAAGTTTTCAAAATGTAACTTTTATGGGGGCAAGTATATCCAATATACCGCATAAAGTTCTTTGTCCGTTGTCTGTCGTCGTTGTTGTCGTCGTCGTAAACTTTTCACATTTTCATCTCTTTTCAAGAACCACTGGACCAATTTCAAACAAACTTGTCACAAAGTATCCTCAGGAGAAGGTGATTCAGCTATGTACCAATGAAGGGCCACACCCTCTTACAGGGGGAGATAATTATGAAATAGCGAAAAACTAATGGCAATTTAAAAAAAAAATCTTCTATTTTAGAAGCACTGGGCGAGGAAAGATAAATCTCATGTGGAATCATCCTCAGATAGTGTAAAGTTAAGTTTGCTCAAATCATGATCCCCGGGGTAGGGTGGGGCCACATGTGGCCGATCAAAGTTTAACATAAGAGTTTATAGGAACTATTTTAAAAAAAATCTTATTTTCAAGAACCACTGGGCCAGAAAAGATGAAACTCATTTGAATTATCCTCAGGTAGTGTAAATTTAAGTTTATTCAATTCATGACCCCCGGGGCCAGGTTGAGCGCACAATGACCGATCAAACTTTTACATAAGAATATATAGGAAAATCTTAAAATCTTCTCAATTACTTCAAATCCATGTTTAATGATATTTATATGGAATCATCCTCAGGTAGTGTAGATTCTAGTTTGTTTAAATCATAAACCCCAGGGATAGGGTGGGGCCAATATGGGGGATTCAAATTTTACAAATTATAAAATATATTTAAAAAATTCTTCTTCTCAAGAATAACAAAGTCATGAGAAGTGATAGTAGTATTTATATTGAAGCATTTTCATTTAGTGAAGAATTATATAAATTTGTTCAAATCATAATCTCAAGGGTAAGGTGTTGTCACAACGGTGTATCAGAGATTTACATAGAAAAATTTAGAGAAAAATCCAAAGAACAGAAAATTTGTTTAGTCACATTAACATGTAAGCATCCTCGTGTATTGAGGATTTAAAATTGTTCCAAATCATGGCCCATTGGTGTAGGGAGGGAAACAATGGGGAAACAAATTTAAATTATTACGAAGTAATATATAAGAAGAAAATATTTTTAAAAAACCTGTTCATCAAGAATAGCAAAGCCATATTTTGTATCAATATGAAGTTGTTGTCAAGTAGAATTACAATTCAAGAGCCCCCCCCCCCCCCCTTCAGTAAACTTTTCCATTCTGATGTGATTCCGATTTACACAGTGGAGCGATGTGGCCCCTGGACATCTTATTTTAGATTTCAATTTCAATTTAAAGAAACTGTTGGAAGATATTTTAATCAAACTTCATACGCCTTTACAAATTTTCATGTTACATTACTAATTACACTCGGCGGGGCATTCATATGTCTAGTTTTCATTGATGAAAATTCAGTTTTCATTGATATCGATCAGATTGAGAAGGTTTGGAATATTTGTTTTTTTTCTTATATATACATGTATGTAAGTTAAATTTGTCTTCTGAATTACAAAAACCATTTATTTTAATTTATTTGCGAAATAATGCATTCCTAATGTACCCATATTTATTACAAATCATTTTATTATCAAAAATAGATGCATTTATTTTATGAGAAAAGAAATTAGGTTCGATGAATGAAAGAGATACATCATTAACATCGTGTTAGAGTTTCATCTTACATATGGTTGCTGAACAGTGAGCAGACATAATCAACCAAGAGAATAAACTGGTAAAAGTACAACAAACTGAAGGTAAAAACTTATTATTGTAATTGATTTTGTAGCTTTATATAACATTTACTACAAGATTATCATCCATAGGAAATAAATTTAATATTTAAATGAAAAGTGAACTTGGATTGTCGCATTAGCACATGGGAACTTTATAAAAAGCTGCTTAAGAATTCGAGGAAATTTACTGCTTTTGTAATCTTGGTAATATTTTTACGCAGTAATATAAAGAATATATAGGAAGTTACGATTAATTTAATTTCCGGAAATATAAGCTTTTGGGTCATGTAAATTGGGTGACGCAACAGATACCAGAAAAGATTGGATTAATTTTATTGTTTAAACTTGTGATAATTTGTTAATTAAAGCTTTTATATTGCATGACAAATGCCAAAAAGAAAACACAATACAAAACTGAGGGTTGCTGCCACTGAAGAGAATCCAGGATCTAAATTGTCATGACACTTAGTTTGTGTATGTACCGTGGTAATAATATCAGACTGAGCATGAATATCAACTATAGCAAATATCAACTTTTATTTTCAAGTTGATACAATTATCACCGAAAAAAATTTAACATTTTTGAATTAAATAACTTTTTAATATATTTTATACTAAATTCGGACGTTCATCTTGGAAATTCTTTATCTGTTTTTAATATGTACTTATTTGTAGTAAATTGTGTCTAATTTATCTTATTCTCTTTGAAATAGGATTAAGACATTCTAAACTGACACTCTGTGATTCTGTCAAAATAACTGTTGCTCGTTAGGTGTTGATGCCTCGGGATTTGTTAATCCTTTACCAATAACTTTATTTGTACATTTTCTTTATAACCTCTTTCATGTAAATTTTATCAAAGAAACACACCTGTCCATCAATTAACTCGACTAGTGTCAAAAGTCAATTATTGTTTACTCTTAATCTTACAAATATCTATGTTCATTATAATCTCCTTAGTTTGGAGGCCCGACGCTCTACCAGCCACATCCAACTCGATTAAGTCTCGTAAGATATTGTTAAATTTCATGTTTGTTATTCACCATCGTCTTTTATAAATTCGGAAACCCGATTTACCAATTCTTGGACTTTATATTGGAAGACCAAAGGGAATACGGCACCTTTACCCTTTATGTTTTACTACGCCCCACAGCGCCAACACTTCGTTATACCTGCCAACATTCCTTCTTCCTCGTTCACGCAAAACAACGGATTTAGTCCAGAAATTACTTTCACAACTGATGACCAAAATCTAACTGGTTATACAATGATATTAATATATGTACAGTGGACCTTCAGGTATCCGGACGCCAGATATCCGGATGCTTCAGTATCCGGACGATTTTTCATTGGAACAAAATGTTTAAATGTTATTTTGTCTTGTTTAATTGGTGATTCAGATATCCGGATGCTTCACATATCCGGACAAATTGACTGGGAACCAAACCGTCCGGATAAATGAGGGTCCACTGTACATGTGTTAGTAATGAAATCTGATTATTTTTTAATGCATACATACCTGATAAAAACCTTATGGCATTTTTATTAATTCTCGCAATATGAGCTCGTTTTTTATCTGCATAAAACAAATAAACGATATTCTTAGTGATGAAAAAGGTAAGCATCAAAATTTTTGAAAGCAGTTTAGACAAATACTGTATTCCATCGGTATCTAAAGGAAAGTAGCTAATGCCAGACAGTAGAGCCCACTTTAATAGAAAATTTAAAAAAACCCCAAATAACTCACTATTTTTCTACTTGTACGAATTAATTCCAAATTTACTACGTATTGGGTAATTTGATGTTTAATTTTAATATCATTTTCTTTCTCACAGGCAAATTGCTGAACACTATTTTCCTGCCAAGCCATTAAATTATTGACTATATATGATTTATACAAATGTCAGCCATCATAATTTCTTCTGATTAATCTCATCATGTACTGCCTTCCCTAATTTTTTAAATGTGTATTCTGATTAACTTGTCTTTTAACTAAGTCTTTTAAATGAGGACATCTGAATATCATTTTGGAGCCATAGATTAAACAATATTCTTACTTTAAAAATATTTCTTTAAATAATCTCAGCTAAATTGTACATTTGTATCGTTGGAATGAATTCTACAAACAAAATGTAACATTTTGTAATGACCAAAATCAAATTCTGATTTACTGACGCAGCATATATTTGATTTCACAAAAATGATCTATAGAAGAACTTAGCACAGAACACGAAGAAAATAGTGTAGACCCCTGGGATTAGAAAATTTAATACATAATTGTCTTTAAAATACTTACACATAATAAAAGCCAACAACACCAAAGACAAAATTATTGTTACACCCACCAATCTGCAAACAAAAAATGCATTTCAAACTTTTTAACATAATACATGTACATGTACTTTATATTGATATCAGAATTTTAATAATATCAAAATATTAAGATGCAAATAATATGAAACTGATATTTGAAGCAAAAAAAGTTTTCAACAAATAACATAAACTGTTCACAAATAAAGAATTTGAATATTTCCGACATAAATGTTATGTTCATACATTTACCATAAAGCAAACGATCTGCAGTTCAATAATCCTATATTTCTATAAGTGAACAAAATAACTTAAAAACGAGGGGTGATCAAAAAAGTTCGTGGACTGGCGCAATAAAATTAAAACCGCTTTAGGTATAGTAATGAATTTTAAAGTATTTAATTAGCATCATCTAATCTATCTAAAGAAAAAAAAATCACAAATCATAGATTTTATTTTATTTTTTTTTTAAATTAATTATTTTTTGAAAGCAATGGTTTGTCTAGGCGGCGCAACCTCGAAAAAGACGTTTTTTCGCCCTCGGTATTACTGAGGAAAACTCCTTTGTTATCTACATTTGACATTAAAAAATCCCATTAATTCAGGTTTGTGATGGGACGATATTAGTCCGTAAAATTTGTAATTTTTACATCATTCCTTAACTTGTATAGAATTTTATTGCACATTTTGTATGGAGTGTCCAAACAATAAAGGGCTTTCAAATGGCGTCAAAAGGGGGGAGGGGGTTCTTTTTCAACCATTTTATATAGTTTTGCGCCAGAAAAAACTGTTTTACACCTAGAAAATGTTAAATCTGCTACAGGGAAATAAAATACATCAAGAAGACTTGTTTTTAATGCCAAAATAGATTCCGAGAGAAAAGGAATGAACAGTTTATGTCGATTTGTACTCAAGGTATGAAAAGTCAATCACCTTAAAAAATGACGTTAGTTATTTGTTGTTGATATTGAACTTAAAAAAGCAAACTGTGCTGGCACAATCAAGCAAGGATCTCTCCCAGTGTATAAATCCACATGCAATATAATATGCATTGAAAACAGCCTTTTATGATATTAAAGATGCATACAAACAAGACGGGTTTAAGTCCTTATTAAACTACAGGAAACTTCATCAAGATCATCAAGATAAGTGTATGAGATAGAAAAATTGGACTTCGAAAATTATGACGTTTTGGGACGTCATAATGTTGAACGACGACAGCGCCAGGTGATCATAAAATGTCGTTTTCATTTTCTTATAATTTGGCAAAAAATAAACGTATGAAGCAAAACATTTCAACATTTTTTTGTTATTTTTTGTTGTTATTATGTTCCTTATATATTTTGAAAGCACAGACTACGTATTATTAATTTTATCGCTTCAGTCCACAAAATTTTTGATAATCCCACGTACCTGAGAGAATATTTTTATTTTAAACAATAAATCTGTGAGCCAATGCTCGCTGTAACATCCCAGCTCTGATGTGAATATACAGACATATCATGTTAATAAAAGTTAGTGATATATGCAAAGAAAATATGAAACATGTATAAAATTGAAAGACACACGGACAAACAAGAAAATGACATTATATTTTAACAATAAATCCTACCATATGGCATGCCTCAGAGAAGATTGTTTTAAAATCAAACATCTGCTATGAGTATAGTTACTGAGAAAACTGTGACGAAAATTTGTTATGCATGATAATACATGTATTAAACAACAGGAGTTCCCCTACCTATCAATTTTACCGAAATTTTCAGTAAATTAAAAAAAAAACCTAATACCTATAACATTAACACAAGGGGTACAACCGTTGTTCGCGATGCCACTAAGTGAAGTCAAGGGTAGTCCATTTACCCAAAAAGAATGAGAAAAAAACATGTCGTGATTGATCAATCATACACAATTAAGCAGAGATAAAGATTTTACTTTTAAATACAGGTACATGTACGTGTTTGGCTATTGTGAAATATAAGTAAAATATAGAAAACATAAGCATGCTAAGTAAGCATTGAAATTTAATTGTTTAAATTTGTCGGGCTTTAAAAAAGAGAAAGAGGGGATGTTGACAGACAGCTATTAAATAGTTTATAAATCTTATTTTTTTTATCGGTTGGAGAGTGAGACTCTTACCCATGTTGATGTATATTCGAGAAGAAGGTACGGTTTCCATACAAATTTTGCCCTGTGATTTTCTAAAAGAAAAAAACTGGTGTAAAAGTTGAAAACTCATACTATTTAAATAATTGAAATTCAATGCAGAAAAATCTTACAAGTCATTTTTCACACATGTGTTTTAAATGCTAATTATGACGTAATAAACTTGTGCATTTCCCGTATTTTCTGAAAAAGTTGCAGAAGACAACAATTTTCAATGGAATTTTCTTTTAGATATCATTGTCCACAGGCATCGCCCACAAAGATCTTGAGATATATGATTTGTTTTTCGATTTTGCACAAAATAGCAAAAAATTAACGAGGGCGACGGCTGTGGACACTGTTTTCTAACGGAAAATCACTTTTGAAATGCGCCATTTTGTGGCTTTTTCTGTTGAAAATAGAGAAATGCTTCACATTATGACGTCATATTTACAGAATCGTAAACTTTCATGCCTTATTCTTTAATGATTTATTAGTGTCATTTATTTGACTAATATTTAATTCATTTTCAAAACTTTTGATGTCATTACATTTTTAGGGCGCCATAAAGCTTAAACCATACCTTCTTCTTTGGCGAAGATATTTTCACCAAGTAAATTACAATATCTAGATAAGCATTTTACAGCTCATTTCAGGCAGTTTACCTCCTTTTGGATAAATGAACGCACAAGTGACGTCATGTAATGGCGTCGAGAAAATTGGGTACTTGAACAAAGTCGCACTCGGATGACTCGTACCTTACACTTGGATTTCCAAGGATAACTCGTACCTCGCACATAACCTCGGACGTCAACGGTGATTTACCTTCTTGCTGATTCAGTCATGTGATCTTTTTTGAAATTCTTTCAAATGTCACACATTTGAAATCGGAGTTATTTTGAGGTACACTCAACAGTTTTTTCTTGCTTTTAAAGCCTATTAACATAAGGATGTAATGAAAACCTGTTTACGATAAAGAATTGCACAAACTAAGTAACATTTACGAAAAACATTCTGCAGAGCAAAATATGAAATGAGTGACGAGGCAGTTTCTGGCGGAGAAATGTAAGGATCTGTTGCGTATTCCTCCATTACTCACATCCGAAGCTTGAATGGAGCGTAGCAGAGTCAGCCGAGGATTGCCGATTGGCAAAGTCGATGAGAAACGCCAACTCTGCTGCTGTAAGACATGCATTTGAAATCATTTGCATTAAGATGCATAGAAAATGGTCCCTTCCGAAAAGATTGGTTTGTTTGTTTGTTTTTTTTTTATTTTTTACAATTTTTGATTAAAAAATTATTGTGCGGCAGAGATTGTATCATAAAGTCAAGCATCTGTGATGGATCGTTGCTAAGAAAACTGCGATGAAAATTTGATACGGAAAGACACACAGTTAGACAGACGGAAAGATACACGAGGTTAAAGGAGTATAAATATGCCTTGGATAAATATTCTTATCAACTTTGTAGTATATATATGTACACACGAGTATTAAGCAGAGGCCAAATAAATGAAATGAGGTTTTACTTATGTTTATACTTTGATTAGTGCGTTTTGCATTCATATTTCATTTTTCAGTACTTTAAGCTACCTGTATCTGAAGAAATATTTTGTTAAATGTTAGTTATAATACCTTCAATACCATATCAAAATATCTATGTACGTCCAGTGACAATTTGTAAATAACAAAAGGTCAGTAAGAAGCACCCAGAAATCTCTGCTCATAAGCTGTACAAGTTTAGATTAAATAAAAAGCTTAGTGATTCAGCCAGTGGATTTTTCTTCTAAGTGGTTATGTTCTATGAAATAGGATGGAACAGAAAAATTGCTTTCAACTTTTTTTTATATCATTACACGTAACAGATTTGGCTACTAAAAAACCTTAACTGTTTTTCCGCATAGAAAAAAAGCGTTGGTGCACGCAGATTCTATTGCACTTTTGTTTCTTCATCCACAAAAAGAAAGTATATCTGTGTTAATATTTTTTAGCACCTCAACTTCTTTCAACACTATCTTATACTTGTTTATTTTTCTCAAATTCCCCTTTACAAAAGAAATGGAGTGAATTTACCTTACTTTCATTATCCGATCGCTTGTTCTTTTTGAATTATCATAAGAAAAAAAATAAGTTGTTAAGACATTTTTTCAACAATAATTGACTTTAAAAAAGTGATTAGGGGATTTTCAAAACTCCGACCATAAAGATTGCATTAAGAACAAAATAAAGATCCCTCAAACAACCCAAGTTAGGTATACGATAATAAGGATATGGAAATAACGAACAGTATTCAATCTCAACGTCCATTAAACAAATATACAAAATAAGAGCAGAGCAAACACGGACCTCCGAAACATCAGAGGTGGGATCAGGTGCCATGGAGGAGTGAGCATCCCCTGCTGACCGGTCACACCCGCTGTGCGCTCGTTGTCATAATCTTTAAAATAACGGGAAAAAAATCCGTAGTCAATTCAGTGTATAAATAATGGACTAACAATTGGTATGAAAAACGTCAGTCAGCATTTCATTCAATGATAAATTGTATTTGCTGACAAGGTCATTGTATCGACCATAGAATTTACGAAATGACGACTTTAAACGAGACTGTTGATATTCTTGTTTCATCAACTTGCTTGTCAATAATTTACCTTGTTTAAGAAATTGTTCATACGTAGAGCATGCTCTTGCGTATCGAATCAACTGAGATATAAATACTCCGTATGCAGGTGATGAAGGTATATTGCTGCATAAGTAAGGGAAGTTGACGATAGAAAAGTTAAAGTCATCACGTTTATCATATAGCTTGGTTGTTAGATTACCATGTGTGTCTTTTTCAAGTAAAATATCCAAGTATGAAGCAGAAGTGTCGGACTCTGTGGTATCTTTTAACTCAAGCTCACCAGGATATATCGTGTCGACGTAGGAATGGAAATTATCATTATTAATTGACAATACGTCGTCGATATATCTAAATGTCGAGTTGAAGGCCACAGCAAGTGTTTTTTTTCTTTTCACGCAAAAGATTTTGCATAAATTCTGCTTCATATGAATATAAAAATAAGTCTGCTAATAACGGAGCGCAATTTGTACCCATGGGAATTCCAATAGATTGTTGGAATACCTGGTCTCCAAAAACCACATAGATATTGTCAATCAGAAATTCAAGCATCTTCTTGACTAATGCAAAATAAAATTCAATCTTATTGAATTTTTTTTTTTAATAGTATTATATCTTCCTTTATATAAGTACCTTATTTACATGTCTCCGCCCATTTGTATGTAAAAGAGAGACTGCAAGCTGTTCGAAAGAAAATGTTCCAGAAATTGTATGTGGGGATGTGTTTAAAATTGGCTTGCATTTCTTGATACTGAAAGTCATTTATAGTGAAGGTACAAAATTTAATTAAAAATAATAACTTATATATTATTAAAATAAATATAATAGCATATTCCATGTATATAACCGGGGTATGTAAAATAAGGGCGAAAAAAGGAACCAAGCTACTTTACCAGGGTTGTCCTTAAAATTTGTGGAACATATTGATAATTACTGATAAACATTGACAAAATATATAAAACCAATATTTTCATTAAATTCATGTTTCATTTCATAAATATGCAAGTTTTCAAGAAAAACAAAACACAAATAGTTATATTTTTATTAGATTAAAAAAAACATACACTTATATCCGAAGCACTAAAATGAAGATTCTCGACGTTACTCGACGTCAAATGCACATTAAACGAGTACGTGTAACTTTTCTCAGCACCATTTAACTCAATACATGTTCAGGTTTCACACGTAAAATAATACGTAACAATTCCTGTCTAATATCTTGTAATCATCCAGCCTTTGTCCTCGTAAAAACGATTTTTTTTTTTGCAGAAATACGGTAAGGTCAAGTTATGAAAGTCATTTTTTCAACACTGCAATCTTGGAATGATGGTTTTCCTTTACAGATATAATCCTATAAACGGTTCCTTGCGTCCGAAAATATTATACATGTATGCCACTTGAATAGTAATGTACGGCTTCTTTTACTATGTTTTCCCAATTGTTTACAAAATGTATTGGTCTCTGTAGGTGTTTATCCGATGTCTACGCATAATTATATCACTGCCCACTGTTCCACCTATTCCGAAAACGTCCCTTTTTGGAACAATTACGGTCCGTCTTAATAAGTTCGAACTTTGATTGCTCAGCCATTTTACTACTTTGAATGTTCAAATTTTGCATGTTTGACGTGAAAGCATATGTCAACCTCATAATGTAAACGTCATCCAGATTTTCGCAGAATTTTATAAATTACAATTGAAATTTATAAAGAGATACACATTTTTTAAATTAAAATTTTGCGGTGCTCCGGGTCTCCATTCCAAATCTAATTATGAAACCATAATTGAAAATGGACATTTGAAATTGAATAAGATTTTACATTTTTCAATTGGCATTTAGCAAAAAATTAGAAATATGCTAATAATATCAATGACGCAAACTTTATTTAATTCTTAGCTTGCCCACAAATTTTACGGAAAAACCTCGTACTTAAAGGTATTTGGACACAGATTTGAAGTTTATATTTTCTCATTTTTTCTGTATAATATTACGAATTATATATCTTAATAAAAATTAAGATACACAAAATTTAATTAAAAATCTTATTTCATTTAAAAGTTTTTAAAACTTTAATTTTTTGGCGGGTTTTATTGACACATCCCTGCACTTTCACAAATTTTAACTTTATTCTTAATCCTTAGGAAAAGAGGCAATTTCGATGTGTTTTAATGAGAAATATTGAAACTTTCATCAAGAAAAATAATTCTATTCAGAGTAAATACTTTAGAAAGCAAAACACCTTCACAAGTACCGTCATTCCGAACTAAGAGATGCGTACAGAGTATAGCAAATCGAGCACACTCTTGTTATGTACACATTTTTGTATACAAGGCTCGAGTTCTGTTATTGTTTATATTTAGAATTCACCGAGTGCGTTCAATCGTCACAATCTGCTCACCATAACTGCACCATAACTGCACGGACAGACAATATATTGTTTGTTTTGCTTTTGAAAGTGTCTACTCTGGATTATAATATAAAAATTGTTCATTTATACAAAACTTTTTTTAAGGATTAAGAATAAAATTAAATTTGTGAGAGTGCAAAGATATGTCAATCAAACCCGCCAAAAAATTTGAAATTTCAATATCTTTTCAACGAAATAAGATTTTTAATTAATTTTTGTGTGAAATGCTCTTAAAATATATAAATTGTAATATTTTAAAGAAAATAATAACTTCAAATCTGTGTCCAAGTACCTTTAAGTGGAAAACACCTTTTCACTCCTCTTGATTTATTAATTAAATAATAATTGCGTGTACTTGAAATCATATTAGTACTACGTTTAACAAAGCTTTCGAAAAAATAAACATCTCTTTCCTGTAAATTTGTAAAACTTACATTATTTTATCTATTGTGATCCTTTCTCCCCATGAATGCTTCCTTTTTTCTCGATCAATTGGGGTATCTGAAGTTACGAGCTCATAACATCCTTGATCTTGATTTGAAATAAAAAAAAAATATTCCTAGGAATATTATAGATTACGCATTGAATGAACACAAAAGTTAACTGGAGACCTACTTATGTACATTTATTTTAATCATGTGGTTCATGGCAATCAACGGTAAATCTAGTCACCGATTCTTCAAAGTCGCGAATTACAATTTGGAATTGAGAGAACTGTAATTCAGCATCTATTTAAAGAGACACTGTGATACACAAAGGGGAAAATTGACAAATTTCAAACTTTATGCATGACCCATCTTAATTTTATTCAATACCTTAAATAAAATATTAGGCTTCAGAAAATGACAGGTTTCAAAAAGTACCATTATTTTTTTTTTCTGGATAAAAATAAATATAAAAACTAGAAACGAACTCGTTGCGAGCAACGAGAGGTCTTCCGTCCGTTTCAGGAAAAGAACCTTAAATCGAGCTGAAAAAGTGATTAAAAAAATTTGGTCACAAAGGGGATTCCAGGTCGCCCGCGTGAAAATCAAACACGCTTTTTTCCTCTTTATTCCCAACATGCTTAAATTACGCGTTTGGGTCCACTGCTCTAAATGTACTTGAATATACTTCTTCGACAATACACCTGTCGAAGAATCCCGAAAGGCGCAAGTTAATCTGCGCACCTTTTCTTTGGAATGTTTCATTAAATATGTGTGATAGTTTCAATAGAATATTGAAAAAGGAACATTCTTTAAGCCTAAATTTCGAGGTTTAGAAAATATATATTTAACAGATTGTACATATTCTATATCTTATATAGGTAAGTAACACAAAAGAAATGAAATGGAAATCATTTTTAATTTTTTTTAATTACTCGTTTATCCCCAAAGTGAACTGACCCAATTCTTTACACCTTCATGAAAAGGTAGAAATGGTTCGATGAAAGACATGTCTCGCCCTTCGACAGTCAAGGAATCAGATTTCTTTTATGTTCAATGTTCAACTTTAAATATCTTTGAGAAAAGAAAGTTAATACAAACTCCATTAGACGATCTTATTTAAAAAAAGGTTTTCTTATTTCTGTCTTCTGAATTAGTTTAATATGACTCAAGTGTGCATGGGAAACACAGTGGTTACGTTTGTGAAAAACGAATAAATTCTTAATACTCCTCTAAATATAGTTACGTATACTGTACGCCTGCAACAGTACACCTGTCTTAGAATCATAACGCAGTACAGTTAAGGCAACACATGAAAAAAAAGGTAATGAAGTCATAATGATGCCTTACGTCATGACAGTTGCTCCGCCCTGATTGATCCATATAAGGAAATGGTGCTCCAAATAACAATTTACCGATATTTGCAAGAATTTGCAATAAACAGCAATATCTTCGTGTTGAAATAGAAAATACTTAGTGATTTTCCGGTATATATAATATCATGTCTTTAAAATAATTCTCTTTTTAATGTGTCGTTTGTCTGCATTCGGCTTCAGCCAAGCGCTTGCACTCGGTGACATGGAATGTTGTTTACATCTAAAAACGTGGCGACATCAGCTGAGATTTGCAGTGAATTTAAATGCAATAACAACACTATCTTTAAAGAAAATAAGGATAAAATAAGATACACGGCATTGCTTCTTCCTTTTACGAGAATATGGGGGCATTATGTCGGAAAATAGCAGAAAACTGAGACGATTACACCAGCTCCGTAGATCGAACACTGCACTGAAATTCCAGGCCAGGTATGTACAGATGTATACTCATATGTAGGTACATGTGTAGATCTACAATATGTAGACAAGTCATGCTTTTGTTAACATAAAAAACCCGAGTGTGTTCATGTTCATTTCACATCATATCACAGTCAGTGAAAAATTGTAATGCAGTGTATTGTGTGTAACCCCCCCCCCCCTATTAAGTTGCACACTTTTAAGAATTATTAAAAATTAATTGCACTAAATATGTACTGATTTCCTGTCAATTAGCTCATTTTCTTTGAAACAATATGAGTAATAATGGAGGTCATCAGTAACAAAAATGTAAACTAAATCAAATGATATGTTCTCATTGTTTCAATCAATGATTCACTAGTTACTAGGCCTATACAAGCTATGATGTCTTTTGACATACAAATATACACAATTTAAAAAAAAATATATCAGTATCATTGTGTTGAAATCATAGAAGCCCTACTTCAGATCTATGGTTGTAATTTTCTAGAATTTCTAAAGTAATGAAAAAAATAAATTCAATTTTGTTTAGATTACATGTACAATAAAATATTTTTAAAATATTTTTATCTTTGTAGCTGTCACGAGTATCAGGCTTAAAGAATGAATAAATGAAAAATGCATCATTTCTCCACAGGATATGTATACTTCTAAAGCATTTCACATTTTTAAAGTTTGCATGTACTTTACATTTTTTTTCACTTTGGTAAAGGAGAAACTCATTATTATTATTTTTTTTAGAAAAATATTTTATCATTATTAAACTATTGTAAATGTCAGAAGTTTCATTTTCCCAGAAAAGTTTTGTAACACATTTTTCCCCATTGATATGAATTACATAAATTCACTACAGTATACAATGTAGCATATTTTTTTGGTAAAATGTAATGCTATTTTATTCTACAATGTATATTTAGTATTTTCATAGCAAATAACTGCATATTATATTGTGTTGTAGGCATAGCTTTTCCCGTGGACTATAATGGATTCACTCAGGCAGGAAGTTAATTTAAGGAAAATGGTATGCTCAATATTAGCTATAAATCATACAAAGTTTTGATAATAAAACTAACAGAAGAATTGAAAACATGTATATGCATTTTTTGTTAAATGTTTCAATACATTTTTCAATTTTATTTTTTATAACACAATTTTTTTTTTCAATAATGGTATTTCCTGATTTTCTCATATTTTCAGAATTCATTTTATCCCACCTCTGATGTTTCGGGGGTCCGTGTTTGCTCTGCTCTTATTTTGTATATTTGTTTAATGGACGTTGAGATTGAATACTGTTCGTAATATTTCCATATCCTTCCATCCACGAGGACATGAAGTGATGGAAATAATTTGCACCTGCCCAGCATTCCTAGGCCTACAGTCTATCATTGGATTTGAAAAGAAATGTTTATTCAATAAATTTTCTAGATAAATAAAATAATTTGAATTTTTAATTTATTTACTGTTCATATGTTGAAAAGGCCCTTAAGAATTGAAAATCTTAGCTTGCATACTATTTTGTGTGGAGGGTACTAATGTCCATAAAGATCTTATTTCCAGCATGTGCATTGTGTTCATTTATTTTTTAATAAAATAAAAAAAAAACAGAAGACTAAACATCCCCCTAATTGATTAGAAATAGGATAGAGGACCACCATTTGATTCTGAGGAAAAGGGGGGGGGGTCCAAATCAGATGTTTTTTATTTTCATGTCAATGAAGGACAGATTAATATTCATTTCCGATTTATGAAATAAAGGACAGATTATTTATTTATTTTCCCCTTTATTGAAAAGTCTAACATGAAAAAAATGTTAAAAACTCGGAGATCACTGATCTGCAAGTATTTAATTCTAAAATCCGCTAGACCCTCCCCCTCGGAATAAAATGGTTGTCTCCTTAACAAATACAGGAGTATAATCCAATCCTTTCTAATAAGTTCCTTAAACTTAAAACCTAGTCAATATCCCCTAATTAACAGTAAGCGGTCTGATTGAAAGCGATCGGGGAACATATGCAGAAAGAGAAAAAAATATTAACACAAGTTTGTGTACAATAGGCGTCGGAAGCAAATGAAAGGGGGCTAATTGAAATGGGGAGGGGGCTTAACCAAACGAAAAAAATAAATTCCAATGCCTACATTACGTATATAATTTGCAAATAAGTATGAAGGCTAATCCCTATCCCACCCCATCCCCCACCCCCAACCCGGTTCCGACGTCATGCGTACAGTAGTGTGGGAGAGGAATAGAAATATAATTAATTTTTAATGAAGGCTATATTTTAATTAACCATTTGGGTTCTACATAAATATATCGGCAATATTTAGACCTGTTTGTATTTAATACTAAATGTATATACACATCTTTGAGGAAATGCGAGAGGTTTGAAAGACATTAAATGTATACAATATATGGAGAACGAATACAAAGAAAAGAAAGAAATGTCAAAGATTTTCATGCATACCGTTTGATTATGTAAAAAAAAGAGTCCAATCCTGTCCGCATGAATATTTATCTAAAATTTACGAGGTACATGTAAACAAACTATATCAAGTACTCAAGAGTTATCTCCCATGCTGGGTCAATGATGCGTTTGAAAACTAAAATTAGATTGACTCAAGATTTCAATTTTAAATCAAAAAGTGCAAGGGCAAGGCGATAATCTAAAAAGTAGGTTTTTATTTTATTTTAAATTATTTATTTTATTGTACAGTTTTCAAAAAGTGATGCTCATTTCTTTGTACTCCTTTAGTTAATTTATAATTCGCAATGAAATTAGGAAAATATCCTATTTTTTTTACATTACTGTCTGTTTTAGCTGAATAACTTAATTTTATCGAAAAACTAATTTAATGAGCATCTCTTTTTAGAAAGTATAGATACAAAATGACAACATAAAACATTTTGCAGTTAATTTTTTGTTTGCTTTGTCCTTTCACCTTTTGGTTAAATTTGACATCTCATTTCTTGACCTAAAATTGGAGCCCACGTGACTTCAGGGGATCACATGATGTAAAAAAAATACCGATGTGAAAAGCGATGGACATACTCTTCAAGATAAGAAATAGATATTTTAACTAGAGAGTCTTTCAAAAAATAAAACTGTTAAACATAATATGTATCGGATTCCGTGAGTTTTTATAGAAAATGTTGCCTTAACTGTACTGCGAAAAGGCGGGCCACTATTCATAATCTGGCGACAAACACCATGAGTAAACATTCGAGCCTATCCTTTGGACTGATCTATCAAATAGGTGTAATAGCTTCAATGAAATTAAATATTAATTTAAACAACTTCTTATTTTATTTCGACGTTAAGAAAGAAAATTAAACACATTGCACACATTTCTATCCCAATTACACCAAAGCAGTAAAACGGAAATTAAGTTTTATAATTGTCACGAAATTGCAGCGTACTAATTGGTGAAAGTCCGCGTTGATTTTTTACTTCTTATATATCATTTAGGCAAACGCTCAGCTGCCTCCATTAACACCTACTTGCGAAATGGCGGAGTTTACAGAGACAGCCGCCATCTTGGAGTTAAACTTATTAATATTCAAACAAATTATATGGTAAGCATCAATGAAAGAGTCTCTATAAACATTCCAAAAATAAATGAAAAATATTGAAAAACCAAAAAAGTTAGAAAATACAATTTTTTTAATTCGCTTGTTGTAACGACCGGAAGTACTGACGAAGAACAAAAGGTCGTTTCCTGGAAGGGGAATATCACGATCTATAATCCCTGAGGGTTTCACATTGATATCTTTTACCGTTCTTGAGTTTAACCGCGGACAAAATGTCGTTTTAAAATCAGGAAATGTCCCGTAGCTTGGCACCAAAAGGAAATTGTCAAAAAATCGCTCAGATAGATCAAGTTCATATTACGACACATCTTTTCTTAAAAATTCATGTAATTCCATCCAGTAGTTTTCGAGAAACCGCTTGCAAAAAATTTTGGAAAAAAAATAATAATAAGGATAAGAAACAGTAGAATCACTATAAGGTCTTCCGTGAAGACGGAAAAACTTAATAATATCAGTATGCCCCATAACAAAAATATTGCTAAATACCCCCCTCCCTCAATTGTACGCATGCGCAGAAAAGTTTAATAAGTGTCCATAGTAACCATGGTCTCAAGTACTAAGGAATGAATTAAATAGACCACAAATGTTGATGTTATCTTTTAAATCAATGCTAGAGCATATTTCTCACCTTGCCTGCTCCAGTTGAATGTTGTTTGAGCTAAGAATAAAGTGGTGTGACCTTGATAAACACTACAGCAAGGCAACGGTATATACATGTACAACCTTTGTTTTTCCGGCACTGTGCAGTATTTTCTTGCAGTTTAATTGATTGATTGTATATTGTTTAACGTCCCTCTTGAGAATTTTTCACTCATATGGGGATTTCACCGATGCCGGTGAAGGGCTTCAAATTTAGACCTATACTCGGCACTCAGGGCCATTGCGCAGTGAGGGTTCTTTATCGTGCCGACGCATACCGTGACACGGGACCTACGTTTTTAAGGTCATATCCGAAAGACCCGTGACTTTCACTTCTAGTGCCGAGCGCTTGGCGAAGGAACAGTCACTACCTTTGTTTACGTCTTAGGTATGACGCGGCGCCGCGATCGAGAATCGAACCCGGGCCTCCCGATCACGAAGCGAACGCTCTACCACTAGGCTTCCGTGACCGGTCTTGCAGTTTAAATATCATATCTTAAATATATACTCATAATTTTCAAAACTTTTTAAGTCTTTTCTTTTTACAACAGATATAGTAAAAGAAAGTCTGTAAGACATGATTTTGACTTATTGTCTTATTTTAATAAACTTTTAATGAAAGGCTTTCACCAATGCAGGTATAATGAAAAGAGTTGAAAACAAGAATATATATGGGTTGCCAGTAACCAAGGTTTTGAAACTTTTAATTTTAAAAAGTAGAATTGTAACTATGCCCATTGCTAATGTTGTATAAACTGAGGTCCATTGCCTCAGTAGGTGTTGGCAGGAAAAAGAAGATCTCTTTCTGCTCAATAACCAAAAGTTCCGAGTAAAATTGGCGTCGGTAGTCTAGTGGTTAAGGTGCCGGACTCCAAACCGATAGGTTGTGAGTTCGAATCCTGGCCACGGCAAGTCGACGTTGTGTCTTTGGGAAAGGCACTTTACACGAATTTCCTCACTCCACCCAAGTGTAAAAGGGGTACCCGGCTATAGACAGTGAAAGATATTGTCAGAATGTTAGTGTTCTAGCGCTGATTACGGCAGCTTGCACTGAGAAAGATTCTGGATTGTTAAGGTCTGCTGGGGTAAGAATGACTGTAAAGCGCGTTGAGTAGCATTTGTGCTAGAAAAGCGCTATATAAATCCAATTATCATTATTATTATCATTATAATTTAAAAAAAAAAGCTTTCATCGCTCCATCGGAAAGAGCTGGCTTCTGCATTTGAGTGAAAATTGTCGAGAAGGACGTTCAACAACAAGTAATCAAATCATTCTCTGGCATTGAATTCAAATTTCATTCCTTACATTTGTAAATATCTGTCGAGATGTATGTTCTAGAACATGGTTTTGAGAAAATTGTGCAATTTTCATTATAATTGTCTTGAAGAATGTGTCCAGCCTCATTGTATTCCACACAATAACCTATTTAATAAACAAAACAAATATACGGTATATCTTAATCACACTAAGAAAAATCTATTTGACATAAATTGACTACCATCTACGAAAAAAAAATTTTGCATTAAGGGATAAGTCAATGTTCTATATGTTCTATATGCCCCATTAAAATTACTTGATACCTGCACTTCTCCATACTGGGCCACAAACTTCTAGTAATATAGTAGAGTTCCCATTCTTAACACAGTGATACTTGAACTCATAGCTAGGAACACATGACTGATGAACTGCAGAACAGTTTTTCAGACTGGCAGCTATATTCCATTCCTCAGCAGTTTTTGGACATCGTTTTACTTCTACCATAGTTGTTTTCGAAACATTGCAACTCTTAGATTCACAGGAAACCTTAAATACCATGAAAACTTAATGTCAGAAAAAATATAAATCTACTGATGCATCTTATAAACAATAATCGGAACATGTATATCAACAGTTGGGTGCTATAGTTGACTTAAAAAAATGACCGATTTGACATCATTTAATTTTGATATATAAAATTTTCAATTTAAAAAATCTACATTACATGTATTTGTTCAATACTTTGTGATATGTTCGCGAGAACATAATACTCTCCGAATCCATCTTGATAGACTTTGGTATAAGCTACGAAGATAGACTAAGAGGAGTTCACAAGTGTCTACAAAAACGTGTTTTTAGATCGGCAGCATTTCCCATCCTGTTCGTTCTCCTTTGCTCTCCTTACGGTCACATAGTAATTTCCCCAAATATCTGTTTTGTATATCTTCATAAGGTATAAAAAATATACAAAATTTTAATAACGTTATGATTTCTAAAGTTATAACTATTTCTTTTTAAAAAAAAAATTGAAACACAAAACTGTGGTTGCCAAACTTATTTTTTTCCCTAAAGGCTTATATGAGAAATGCCATCCTCTGGTATCTCGCACGAATGCCTGGTAATACAATTAATTATGAGTAAACATTTTAAAGTAGAAATTGTTTAATGACAAAATCTTGGAAAAAATTATACTTCATTGAAGAACATCTCGTCTGTCCTTATGGCTTTGCCATCGTACACGTAATTTTAAGACTTTCCATACATTCTCAATAATAAAGGTCAAGGATATGTGGGGGAAGGGAAGTGTTGCGATAATATTATTCTGTTTCCATTCATTTGGTCTGGCAATGGAATAGCAACATATGGCATTGAACCCGATGGCGATTATATTATTTATCATAAATAGGTATTGCATGTAAAGCAAAATGGAACAAAATGAGTTTGTGAATAAATTGTATATCTTAGTTAGTCGTGCTTATCTTTTAAAATTTAATTCATTGAGACATATCAAATGATACAGTTTTATTTCAAAGATTGTACTTAAGGGGGCTGACTTTGGTTTTCATCGCGCAATATTTCGCACATTATAGTAAAATGAAGCGTACCTAATGTTTTAAAACAACTTTTTTAACTCGATTAATAAGATTAAACAAACTTAAGAAATAACAGGTTTGAAAAATATAACTTTTTTAACCGATTTCGTAATACGTTATATCGTGTATCCGCAGTTATCTAACATACTACTGCTCTTTTGCGGGGGAGTCGTGAAACGTCTAAATTTCTGGGGGCAATTTAATGCCGAAATCATGATGTTTTGGAAGATATTGAACTCCAAATAGTAGATTGTCAAATAAGGAAAGTTTAGAATAGTTTATCTGCTTGAAAATGTGACGATTTGTGATAAAAATTTAACGAGAAGAGTCCGCCTAATTAAAAATATCGTTAAAAATGGGACAATTTAGGATTGGCTCCTCTCAAAAATATATTAGGCTGGCTCAGCGATTGTTTAGCGAAGTATTTCACCAGGATTTTTTACTTATCTGTCCTTATAAATGCTACAATGATCGATCTTGCATTGTATTGAAAAGCACATTGCCCCAATCCAACAGACGGTTCTTACCTCCTTCGCGAAAGAGTTCCGCTAAGTTAAGTAATCGCGATATCAAGTATTGATACTACCAGTAGTTAGGTTGACGTTTTTGTAGTGTGTTTTTGACGTTATGATAAACCGAAGCTCTTACGAAATTAGTAATAAAAATGTTTTTAAAGACAACGCTATAAACATACGTTCTTGAAATTTAAAACCTTGAGATTTAAGAATGTCTCCTAATTTTTTATTATGTTTTTATATAGTCTCTTGTGCCCGTTATATTTTGAAGTACTCTATAAACACAGGAAATTTCTTTAGAAGCCCCCTCTGATAACAGGGCATAAAATTTTGTGTTTCTTACATATAATATACAAGGTAGTATTACTCATTATATATAATACATGTAGTTTAAACAAAAACTCTTGTTTAGTATCTGTATTATATGCTTTAAATTGCTAAACAGTGGCAATTTTCTAAACATGTATAATCCTATAGTAAATGTACCTGTATTTGGAGACGGTCCCTTCAGAATATCTGAACGGTAGATTTCCCCCAAACTTGGCATGCACGCTGAAGTTAACGAAGCTAAATACGAGGGACGTTCAATAAATAATATCATAAGCTCGATGGCACACAACATAGTACATGTAGTCATACATGTATGACATAAAGCTTGACTTTTTCTCATTATTGAATCTTAAATGAATTGATAACAGTTTGTGTGACCACTTTTCATCGCATTATTTCATCTTAGGAAGCTGGAAAACAAGGTCTTTTCGAGACACTGCATTAAAAATAAATGGTCAAGAATCAGTAAACTAGAGTAAAATTAAACGCTTCATTTAAGCAATTAGAAATTGAATAAAAATGTTACCGATATGCATCTTAATTGAAAGAGAATATTTTAGTTAAATCATTTAGACTAAGTCATAGAAAAGCTTATTTTGTTTCTTTCCGAGCCCCAATGTTATTTTTTATTGAACGCCCCTCGTTTGGTATAAAAATGAAGAGTTTCTTTGGTGTAGTTTTTACACAATAAAACCCCAGTCTGCCCCCTAAAATACTTTTTAAAAAACACATCAGTAGAATTTTCTACTTACAGTCTTTCATCTTAAAAACTCATTATCTACATTTAATACCTTTTAACTGTATATGTATGTGCATATTGGATAAAAACTTAACATTTTTGTCATTAATATTTTTTATTTCTGTCATAACATACATCATACAAACATTACAAAGTTACAACATAATGAAAAAAGCAGATATTATACATAATAAACATAAAGTGTTTTCATTGAACAATTAAAAAAAATGTACAATAATTTTTATTACTACTGTGAATTCACTAATTTTCGTGGGGGGTTTATTTTTGTTGTTTTCATGGTATGAAGAGACTTACAAATTCATGTCCACCACGGAATGTAAATTTTCATATGCACAACTTCTAAAAGGTTCTTCATCCACATAATCATTCCCTGCGAACCAATATTTTTTTTCCTTCAACCACGAAAATTTAACCCCTCGAAAATATGTGATTTTACAGTATTCTGTGTCTTATCCTCACTAACTGAGAAATGTTTTAAAAAATCCAAACTTTGATTAAACATGTCTGCTTTTTTTATGAGAGAGAGAAAAGGAAGAAACAAGATAAATAGTTCTATAATATTCAAGTAATTCCAAAAAAGCAGGAAAAGAGGGCGTTATATTTTCAATTTACAATGCATTATATATATCTTTGCAATTTGAAGAATTATTTTCAACGATATGGAAGCAGTTTTACTACAACTATTATATCCAAATATCATTTCTTCAAGTTTAAATTCAATTTTTAAACCACAGGTGTTACGAAGTTTACCTCTTAAGTTAGACCATAAAGTAATTGAAAAAAGGACACGCGCATATCAGCTGAATAAGTGTTTCTTTAGTATCATGACAAAAGGAACTGTTTCAGCTTATTTACATTTCATTAGTTTTCTATTTGTAAAAAATATTTGATGTGAAAGCTTAAACTGAAAGCATTGTAGTTTAGTGTCCTCTTTTAAATAGGGTAAAGAAATTGAGTTTTCCATTTATTTTCAGGAATATGTATAGAAAGTTTTTCCTCCCATTTTCTTAAAGCCATTGAAGGGGACTCTGCTATCTTTTCAACAAAAATGATAAAGTATTTTGTGTCTTAAACGTTTCTTTGAAGTTCTAAAATATTTTTACTTTTAATTCCATTCATCTTTTAATGATTTTAATTATTTGCTTCCAAAGTTTAGGGATTGATGATAATAATCCAGTATATTCCACGCAATTTGTATTTAACATTACTGTATTTATTATTAAATTGGTTAAAATTCATGAAATCGCCATTTTCCGTGATTAAATCATTAATATATAAATATTGCATGTAGTTAAGTGTAACATTGAAAATTTTCAACCCAAGAAAACTATTGTCAACCAAGTCGCAGCCTGGTCTTTCTTCGAGCCATTGAAGGGGACTCTGCTTTCTGTTCAACAAAAAAAAATGATAAAAGTATTTTCAAGGCTTGGCAGAAAGACGCTAGATGAGGAACCTCAAGCCCTCCGTTTTCCGTTGAATTATATAGATCGGTGCGCTTGATCTTGTCTGGTTTGCATTCTCAGATAAATTCAAAAAACATATTTTGATGTTTCTTTAAAATTCTGAAGGTGGGTCTGGAAGAACAGTAATAAGTTGAATAAAAATTGGTAAAACAAGTGTTTTTGAGCACAGTGACTTTTCCGATCAACGTGATGTTTCTAAAAGACCAATCATTAATAAGCTTTTTTGTAGTTTGTAACATTTCTTCATAATTATCATAAGTGATATCAGGTTTGTTTAAGTCAAAAGTTATACCTAAGAGTTTAAATTAACGTCATGGTTCCACTTTTTTTTTCTTTTGTCTTAATCTCTTGACCACAGCCCCTTTTTGCAGCAATACATAAAGCTTATGTTTTTTTCGAAATTGGGTTTTTGCCCGGAGCAAGCAGCAAAGAAGTTTATGCACTTTGATGCTAAGTGAAGGGTATTTTTCATTATCTTCGAGCGCTAGAGAAGTATCGTCTGCATATCGGCTAACAAGGTATTCTAAATATTAATAGTTTATTCCTAATAAAGATACATTTTACCTTGTCTTCCCTTATTTGCTTTAACTTATTTTTTGTTATAACAATTTCTATTTTTTCCCTCTGAAAGAGGGTTTTCATATAGATTTTGTAGTTTTTTCTCAAGCTTTTACTCCGTTTTATCTCTACCGCGTTTCTTGAATGAGGTATATGATATAGTTTTTCCTCTTATCATTAATTTCAAAGTTTCCCATAGTAATTGATCATTAATTGTACAGCTATTATTTGTATCATATTGTGCAATAGTTTCTGAATTACATTCATCAATACGTTGGACATACGTTGGACATAGGTTTGATCGTATAGTAAACTATTATTAAATTTC